GTAAAGAAATGTTCTTAAAATTACCAAAAAAGGCAATTTTTAAGAACTGATGGTTTTACGGGAAAGAGTTTTTTTTTCTAATATTTTTTATTTAAAATCTTAAAAAAAATATTATATTTATTATTATTATTTATAACTTTGAATTTTTTTTTATTGAATTCTTTTCTTTTAAACAAATAGTAAATTGAAACAATTTTAAACTAAAATATTCTTTATACTATAGAGTTTACTATATTAGGTTAAGTGACCTGTAAGTCTATAGTGTAGTAGTTAACACTTCACAGGTCAGATCACAAGATATCAGTTCAACCCCAGGTGAAGGCGATTGATCCGAATTAAAAATAGTATCTGAGGTCATAACCTGTTAAGCCCTATTTCCCATAGGAAGTTATTTACACGTTGATCCAGTGGGATGTTGGGATTGTGATCTTCAAAAAAGGTGGTGTGGCGCGACAATCATCTGAGTGGTGTCATAATGATTGCCAGAAGTATGCCAATGATAGTTAAGCAACATGGTAAGCCAAAAGGCATGTGTTTAACTTCCTTAATCAAAACTCCCCTTGCATTTGAGAATACAGACTGGGCTGTATCCCATCCTAATCAAATCTCGATCTGCTCCTTTCAATGGTGGTTAGAGCCCTAGCCTAAAATATTTCAATCCAGTGCAGAGCCTAATTGGTTTGGAAAATAACCAGCCGCAGGTGGTGAGAAGGATCAAAGTCTTGTATAAGACCTGTCAAAAGTAGCAAGAGTGCGATCTGAGGTCTAGGTGATAAAGTGAGGAGGCACCTGGACTAACCCCCTTAATTAAGATACCTCCAAGCAAAACTGGACCATATAGGTTAGGTAGTTTAAACTAGTAGTAAGCATTTTACACCCATAGGTCTCATCCTAGTGTCACATGGTGAAATTGTTAAGTGATAGGTTCCTGGGCACTAGAGTAAGGTGGAATGTAAGGAATAATCTGCATAGAATACATAGTATTGACTTGTACGAGTTCTAAGTGGTACATCTTCATTGTTATATAAAGTGATATATGTAATATAAATAATTGTTATGTAATTGATCTGTCATATAATAAAAACCTTGTGACGCATCACACTTCCACTTTAAAAAAAAAAAAAAAAAAAAACTATATTAGATTAAGTTATAGATTTTTATAAAAATTAAATTAAAAGTTTTATTTTATATAATTTTCTTATTTTAATTTAATTTCAATTTATAATTATCAAAAAAATCAGAAATTTTATTTTTATATAATTTAATTTTGCTTAAAAATTTATATGTTTAAATATTTTATATGGATAATTATTTTTAAAGAAGACAAAAATGCTAAATATGATTTTTTCAGATCCAACTTTTAAACAATACATATATAATATAAATTTTAGTATTATATCAGAAAATTTCCAGTTCACCTTCGAAAATAGTTACCCATATATGAAAAAAAAACCAATAAATATATATATATTTCTCAATTAAGTTAATAAAATTTTATATATTTGTTTTTTATAAGTATTAAATTAAAATATATATTTAAAGACTTAAAAACATTTTAACTGTCTGATATGCTTCTTAACAAACCACTACTTTATATTCAAACTTCCTCTATATCTTTCAGTTTCAACTTATTTTAAAATCAAAACATATTCTCTGAAACTATTCTAATAGTAAGATTAATTGCTATTGTTCAGCCTATAGTTCTAGTAATAGATTTCAAAATAGGATTTATATTAAGTAACAATAGTAAAAAATTAGTATTGTCAAAGGATTGTCTTACTAATAAAAACAATTGTTGCCTTTTAACCTTTAGTTTTAGTAATGGATTTAAATAAAAAATCAATGCTAAGTGCAAATAGTAAAAAACTAGCTTTATTTTGATATAATTTGGATTTGGTATAGCTTGGAATCAACTTTTGTCTCACTTGTCATATATCAAGTCACATTTGAAAAATAAGTATACTAATCTTAATTATGACTTGAAGGCCAACCTGTATACAGTGGTTACAATACTTTTATGTAATTAGGTAATTAAATTCTCTAGGTAGTTAGATATTATTCAAAATATAATATAGATTTTGAATTTCTTTTTTTTATATTCTTGAATAGTATTAAAAAGCTTAAATAAATAGATTATAATTATTAAGCCTTGCATTAAACTCTTTCTAACAAAAAGAAATATATATTATGTTATAGTTTATAAATTTTATATTTGCAAGTTTTTTTTTTTTTTTTTAATTTAACCAGCTGGGCCTTGCCTAGCGTATTTTATTATTTTATTCCCATATGTAATTTATGTATTACAGGAACTACTATCTATAAATAATTCTACATATTGCTAGACTATATTGGACCTACCCCATATTGGCTTGTTGCTGTCAATGTTACTTCAGAGAAGTAGTGCTGAGGCTAACGTGCCAAAGTTCCGTTAGTATTATTATTATATCATTATGTTCTATTTGACATTGTGTAAATTTTAAAGGGGAAATTTGAATGTGGGAAACTGAGGGTAGTACCTATTTTTGGCGAATAGAACCATTGCAGAGAGAATTCTTCTAGACCCGACCACCTGCAGATGGGCGTACCATTTAATTTTCACCTTCTTAGAGCTATCCAAGAACATTCAAAGAACTTATCTCACAGACTTACGGCCCATAGATTGTTTCAACTATCAGTACTTACTGCTGTTTTGGTTGTCTTCTCGGGATAGGTAACTGTCGGAGTGATCTATTACTGAATTGGAATAAGACCTTTTTGGAAACTTGCAGGAAGAGACATCAGGTACTATGAGAAATGATCACCAAGTTATTTTTTATCAAAAGTGGACACCTTATACACCTTACAACTTCCAGCGATTATTGTAACACAACTAGACGATCGTCATGCCATAATATCTTTTCTAGAAATCACAATCTCAATGCCTGCTGGATTAGCATATAAAATGGCTTCTCATGAGAAACAGCGCTTATACAGGTTATAGCACCAGATACTATATTAATTCTATTCAACTGCCCTCACATAGGGTTGAACTGGTATCTTATGATTTGACCTGTGGAGTGTTAACTACTACACTATGGACCCACAGGTCTTTATATTTGCAAGTTTAAAATTTATAATAAAAATAATATATAGGGATCATCTGTTTCTTCAAAAAAAAAAAAACTTGAAGATATTATTTGTTATATTATTAATTTACAAGTTTTTATTTATATTTCTTTCATTTTTTAAAATTTATAATATATATAAATACATTTTTGTTTTTTTTTGTTTTAAAGAATTTTTAAATATTTATATATAGTAATAAATTAATATATATATTTATATTTTTTATTTTTTTAATTAATAAAAATCTAAAAAAGATCTTATTTAATATTTAATAATAATAATAATTATTATTATTATTATTATAACAATAAATAATATTAACTATATTCTAGTATTTTTATTAACAAAAGTTATATTAACAAATAATAAAAAATTAAAAAATAAAATAAATATATAAAATAAAAAATTTTTTAAAAAATAAAATTCTTATTTTTTTATAAGGTTTATAACTTATTTTGTATAATTTTGATTTTGATTTTAAGCTGCTTAGTATATTTAATAAAATATTGTTTTAAAATTTCTTTTTAATATAGATTAAATAGCTATTTTGTAAATAGATTAATATTTAAATATATTTTATATATACAAATTTATTATTTTAAAAAATAAATAAATAATCTAACCAACCTATGGGTCTATAGCACAGTGGTAATGCTCCATAGGTCACCAGGAGAAGGTCTAGAGTTCAAACCTATCTGGTTACAAAAATTTATCACCTTCATGATTGATTAACTGGCTTCCAATACATGTCATATCCAATCAGCCAAAAATCATCTACCAAATCAAGTTAGGCTACATGAAGATGGAACCTCTGGTCTTTCTGATGATCGCGGGCTGAAACAGGTCAAAGTAGGAAAGGTTGCACGAGGTAAGGCTTCTGGTATAAGCCCACAACCTTAACTGGAATGGTAGACTCCGTATCACCATCCTTTCTATTCAGGTTGGCTAATTTCCTGATATAGGTCATACTCAATTAGCTAGTATCCCAAAACTGGATCAGCAGACTCCGAAATTCGATTGGACCTTCTCCTCCCTATTTGATGTTGGCGCAATCTGGATTGGTGACCCAAGTTTGGGAAGAGTCGGGTTACAAGCCAAAAAGGAGACCACTAGGAAGGTTTTTTACTGTTAATACAGGATTTTCCTTACCTTATATTTACAAGTAGGGAGTCATAAGCATAAACCAGGGTATGGACCCACCTACTTGATATAAGTTGGTATTCTGGTAAAAAGGATGAGTAGCGTGAGTTAATATTAGCAATAGTTAATAGACTGTTCATGTATGGTAATTGTGATCTTAACTGATTTAACAATAAAATCCACGCGTGTATCACAACTTAGCCTTTAAAAAAAAATAAAATAAAATAAATAAATAAATAATCTAACCATAGTAATAAACTGTGAGCAATAACCTTTAACTTCCAATTTCACAAGTAAATAGATGTTAAAAGAGCAATCTTTTTATTTCCAAAGTTACATTTAAAAACATAGTTTAAAATAGATATTTGAAATAATAAAATAATTTATACAATATAATGTACCATATATTATCTATTTTTTATAAAGATTTAATAAACATATGCACTTTTTTGGCTACAGAAAGTAAATAAATAAATAACTTTTTTCTATTGTTAATTTTCTTTTTTTTCATATAAATCTAAAAATATTAATAAAAACAATTATTATACTTATTAAACCATATATGTTTAATAATAATAATATTCAATAAATTAACTTTTTGGTCATTTAATATCTGATAAATATTATGTGCGATTACGTCAATGCCCCCATTCATTGATCAACAAAACAATCCTATTTATACATTATTCTGAATAAGCTTTTTCTAGTTCAGGATTTCTTGCATTCAACGGAAAAAATGTCTCTCACGATATACGACGTTGTCGTATATTTTTTTAAAGTTGTGTTGAGTACTTTTTTCCGCGAAATAAGACCCCGGGGTTCGCACAAAATTCCCGAAGAGGGACCGGTTATCTTTGTTGCGGCCCCACACGCAAACCAGGTGGGAAAAATTATCCAAGTTTTCTCAAATTTCTTTTTGGAATGTGATAGTTATTCATCATATGTCGCATACACCTAGTTCGTTGATCCGTTGATTTTAATGAATAATTGCCAAAGGCGTGTTTCTTTTTTGATTGCTGAAAAGTCCATGAAACGAAAATATGTTGGTCTAATGGCACGCGCGGTTCATGCAAGTGAGTATTTCGCATAGATAGAATTTGATTGATCATATCTTTAATCACGATATAAAACACTAATTATTTATTCACCAGTCCCTGTTGCTAGACCTCAAGATTTGGCAGAGCGCGGGAAAGGGAAAATTTTTCTGGAAGATCGTGTAAGTGACCCCACCCGTATCACGGGAATTGGTACAGAATTTAAAAAGCAATTAAAAGTAAGAGGTCAAATTGCTTTACCCAATGATCTTGGTTCATCCGAAATAACAGAAATTATTTCAGATGTTGAATTGCGGGTAAAAAAGGAATTCAAGGATTTAAAATCTTTGGAATTGTTGACACAACCCGAAGGAACTTCTTATAAATTCTTACCACATGTAGACCAAAGTCAAGTTTATAATGCAGTATTTGAGATGCTAAACACAGGCAACTGTATTGGCATATTCCCTGAAGGCGGTAGTCACGATCGGACTGAAATTTTGCCCCTAAAAGGTTATTTTTTAAAACCCAATTTATCAAGGTATATAAAATTATTGCTAAAATCGTATTTCATCGTTTAAATTAAACTAGCTGGTGTAGCTATTATGGCTTTAGGTGCCATGGCAAATAATCCCAAGCTAGATGTCAAGATAGTTCCATGCGGTAACCACTTAACTGATTTTCATTCTCAATAAATATCGAGAATCTATTATTGATGTTTAATTATTTTAGGATTAAATTACTTCCATGCGCATCATTTTCGTTCTCGAGCTGTTGTTGAATTCGGTTCTCCTATATCAATCCCAAACGAGCTAGTGGAAAGATATCGCAGTGGTGGGACGGAGAAAAGAGAAGCGTGTAGTAAATTGTTGGAGACAATTTACAATGGATTAAAATCAGTAACTGTTAATACACCTGACTATGAGACATTAATGGTACGTTATATAACAAAAATGTTAATTTTTGCTCGCGTGCAAATATAGTTAAGCATTATGTTCTGTTAGGTTATCCAAGCAGCCCGTAGGCTATATAAACCTGAACACTCTAAGCTTGAATTGACTGACGTGATGGTATTAAATCGTCGATTTGTCGGAGGTTACATGAAGTTTAAGGATAACCCACGCGTCCAAGAAATGAATAAAAACGTCATGGAATATAATCAGTTGTTGAAATATTACGGGCTAAGGGATCATCAAGTTCATAAAGCCGCCATGGGAAGATTTAGAGCTCTAATGTTGCTAATATATCGGGTATTTCTTTTGTTAATATTGGTTATATTAGGCTTTACTGGGTAAGAAAATAATATTAATTGGTTTTTGTATTAAAGCACCGACTTTCATTAAAACTATCTATTTGAATATTAGTGCCATCTTAGGTCTTCCGATCATAACTATTGCACGTGTAATTAGTAAGAAGAAAGCGAGGGGTTCGTTGATTACTTACTATGATTATAGACATCTTATTTAGTAACTTTACCTAATCTTCATATTTGATTTCCTGTATCCCCTTTGGACGAGTATAGAGGCAGCTAGGTCTTCAAGTGTTAAAATAGCTGGTCGTGACGTGTTGGCCACATGGAAACTTCTTGTTGCACTTGGAGTTGCACCAATTTTATACGGATTTTATACCCTGATATTCTCGGTTTTAGTGTACAAGTATAATTTGAGCATTCTGAAACTAGGAACATTTTATCCGTTGGTTATATTTTTAATGATTGTGATAGATAGTTATGCGACACTGCAATTGTATGATACCGGGTTAGATATATATAGGTTTGCAATGTCTCACTATCGATCACCTTATTTTTCGTTATTTATAAGCTCGTGTTGATTGTCTTTGCTTTTCAGGTCTCTTCGCCCTCTTTTCTTGTCCGTAATACCCTCTGAACAATCATCAATCCAAAAATTGATTCAAATTCGGGATAAACTTTCACGGGATTTAACCGAATTAATTAATGAACTCGGACCAAAGCTATATCCAGATTTTGAAGCATCACGCATTGTAAAAGAAACTAGAGATTCTCGTGATAGTCGGACACCATCTCCATCTAGGCCTTCATCAAGACTACTTTCTTTAGCAGATTGGCTAGACGAAAAAATATTTAATTGGGAAAGAGCTGATGAATCTGATTACGACGATGTAATTTCATTTATAGATAAACAAATTCGAGGTCGTAGAAGTAGAAGGGGTTCAAGAGAACATAGGAGCAACAGTATGTCTAGAAGTAGAGCAAGTTCTGTAGACTCTAATAATACTTCAAGCAGTGACAAGCGTTCTAGTTTTGGAGTTGATACTTTTACTAAATTACCATCCTCCGAAAACAAGAACATTCCAAGAGTTGAAGTTAATGATTTTGATGAAGATTCGGGTTATCAGGGAGATAAAGAAATTGGTACTATTGAAACAAAGAAAGATGTCTAAACTAATCATTGTTAGGATCAATATAAATATTACTATCATATAAGAGTTTAGTGGCGCTGTGCTGATAAATAAATATTTCATGATACCTGTACACGATTACTTTTATAAACTGTAACCGATGCTCGAATTTAGAATGTTGATGTTATTTCGCGAATACACTTTGTATTTACAGTATATATTTTCAATTGCATTATAAAATGTACAATAAAAAATGAAATGATTTCTAATTATTACAATTTTGATTTTTGAAAAAATATTTAATTTTTTTTTTTTTTTTTTATACTCCAAATCAGGCTGTATGCCTACTAGTTTATTAATCCTATTTTGTCAGAAAGCTTGTACATTG